AAGTCGATTAATTCAAAATCGAGTTATAGTAATATTCGAGTTATCGTACTTCGAGTTATAGCGAATTGACTGTATATAATAATTTCATAAATTTTTAAGCAAAATTTAGATTGGGTACACAAAATATTTCTTTACAAGCTGTCTTTACCGTAATTTAATCTTTAGTATATATTTCACTAAACTCAGTAGCACGGCAGCCCATAGAGGACCAAGGTCTACTGTACCCATTTTAGTCTTCTTGCCCTTTGGCTCTGGGATGCAAGAGCAGACGTTCCAGTTGGGTAGTCAACCAAATGTGAAACCAACAGTGTTTAGTCCCCAAGCATGCTTGGCTTTCATTTTACCAACCCACTGAAGGGATGAAAGGCTGAGTCAACCTTGTCCGTCCCGAGTATCAAACCCAGGACCTGTGGTACGAGAGCGGGAAGCGCTATCACCCAGCCACTGGGCTTATATGTTTCACTATATGTCAAAAACCAGTTAAATCTTATTGTATGCATAAAAATTTCTTTCATCTGATTCTTTTGGTAAAAACTAGACTTAATTATTGTCATTAGTTTTAAATCATCATTTAATTTAACTTTAATAGTTTACTAATATTTTGAATTGTTTACAGATTCAAGCCTTCAGTGGTCTTATATCAGCCCCTTTTACTGGTTTCAAGCCTAACGGGTAAGATAACTCAAAATAGTATTTGATTGACTACAAACGTTTGACATGTGATAGTACTCCTGTAATACTGATGAAAATTTAGAAAATGCTAATAAAAATATTATTATTTTAATTCTAGTGAGGTGAATGCTGATATTATACAAAAATATGTTGATTTCTTAGTTAAAAACAGTGTTAAAGGAGTCTTCGGTGAGATTATTTTCTTAAGATATTTTCATTTCTTCTTACTTCTTCATGAATTCTTTATCACAATTGTAAGTTTAGGCTGCACGAAGAAAATCGTTCAATTAATTAATCGTCAAATTAACCGTCAGATCTACCCCTTTGGTAAAATATTTCATATTGAAGTTTTAGTTCATTTTAGTTTCAAACTAACAAAAACTTACTTATTCGTTATGTAACGGGTACGCAAGCGTTCCGTTTTCTAAAGAGAGGTCCAAAGTTCGAATCCTTGTTGCGACGATAGAATGCTGTCTCTAATTTTCTTTTCTAAAAAAGGTTGATAACTAGGTAATATGTTTTATTTAATTTATAAATCATTATTTTTTAGTTTTTTAGTTAATTTTTTTAAACAAATTAAAGTTTTTAAAACAAAAAAATTAATAGATATTTATTACTTTTTTTATTTTTTAATTAAAATGTATGGATTATTTGAAATAAAAGTACAAACTTTTAATTTAAATTTGAAATCACTATTTTTTTAAAAATAATCTATTAGTTTTAGTTAAATTTTCCTTATTTAGTGATTAAAAAGATTACAAAATTTTAATTTAAATTTTTAATTACAATTTTTCTAAAATTATCAATTATTTCAATTGATAAATAAAAGATATCTATTATTTTTTTAAAAAGATAATTTAAATTAAAAAATTCCTATTTATAAAACGATTAAATTAATAAAAAGAATTTCGCTTCCTACCTGAACATTATGGGTAGAAACTGAACAGCATAACCGTTACACCATGAATACACATCAAGAAAGCTTTTATTAGTTTAAAGGTAAATGTACTGAAACTTTATTGGGCTAGATTTTACCCTGGGGGTAGATCTGGCGGCTAATATATACCCTATGAAAGTTCTCAAATGTACTTTTTAATTTAACTTTGCTTTGAAAGATATTTTTGAGATGTGTACTTTTATTGTTAGTATTTATTTCATTCTCTGCAGATAATTGTAATGTTAACGTAATATACAGAAATACGGTGTAGTGTATCTACCACTACAAATTTACAATTCCAATTCACTAGTATACGAGGCATGTTAACTCGATTCTACGTTACGGTACCTTTTCATAGATGAAGGTTGACATGGTCGATAAATATAACCCCACATTGGTGACCTTCAGACGTGATGTGAACATGCCTGCCTTGACAGAAACTAACACTTCGATTTAAACACGCCTACTTCGATGGACTGCGCCTACTTACTACTTGTGACTACCTGCGACATTATCCACCTCCTCGCGCTTTTGCTACTCAGTCTCGATCACATACAACGTACAACGCATTCACCCGATTGCTAAAGGCAACACAGGAGTGATCACGACCGTGACCTTAATACAACTCTCACGATCAGCACTCAAAATTACGGTGATCTTAACACAGCTTTCCCCGGCACCTCACAAAATAGCAATGAATCAACTAGTGGTATCCTTTCAACGAATATTACTGCTATAATTCTGGTGGGGGAGTACTGTAGTGTGTCTACCACTACAAAATTCCAATTCCAATTCACTAGTATATAAGACATGTTAACTCGATTCTATGTTGGGGTACCTTTTCATAGATCAATAAATTCGATTCATTGTGGATAAATATATCCCCACAATGGAATTATTTTTATTATTTGACACTTTAATCGCTCAAGAAGTTACAAAGAATAATTTAAAAAAAAATATAAATCTGAATATTTCTATGTTGGATAATATTAGATTAAAATATTAATATTTTTAATGTTATGAAAACATTTTAGTAAACGGCACAACGGGGGAAGGTCTTTCCTTGACTGTTGAAGAGAGAAAACTGATAGCAGAAAAATGGGTTGAACATGGAAAAAACAAGTAAGTTTTAAGTTGTTTATTTTTTTCTACAAGAGGAGTTTTAAAACAATTCTGGTAAGAGAGCATAGTTAAGCGGGGTACAGGGGGTCGTTGCCCTGAAACATTTAGCCAAAGGGGGCATCTAATCGTTGATTAACGACACGAAAACAATAAGAACTACATTAATTCTTTTTATGAAACTAAGATTTTTCACCGGTAAATGTTTAGTTGGAATAAAATTTTTATCTAGAATAAAAGGTGATTTTTTTAAAAAAAAATGTCTTATTAAAGCTTTGCTTATTAAAATTTAATTATTATTCCCATCTAAGAAAAAAATTAAGGACATTTTGTTTGAAATAATTAATGTCTTATCTTAGAATAAATTCCGAATTAATTCTAAATAAATTAAAATAAATTCTGAAATTTTAAATGAATGAAAAATACGTTTTACAAAAATATAGAATTCTAATGAAGATTTTTAGCATTTTCTACCACGTTACAATCCTCTTTTAAGTGGCATCTAATAGAGGAGTTTGTACAAGTCATTCACATACCTCTGCATGGCATTGGTATAGTCTGTACATTTAGTACCAATAAAAAGATTATATCCTCATTAAAACTTATTAATCTAATATTTTACAATTCAAAGTCTGATTTGCTTTATTTGATATACGCTAAAATCAATGTCAATAATTGCCATTGAAAACAAATAAATAAAACTATTATTGCAAATTTTTTATTGTTAGTAAATAGTCTATCTTTATAGTATTTATTTATAAGTTGAAAGTTAGACATTATTAAAAATACTGGTAAAAAGGTTAAAATATTGGATTGGAAAAAAATTTCCAGTTTCTTACAAAATATACTAAAAGAAAAAGGATCAGAGTAAGTAAATTAGGCTGAATTAAAACTTACATTTTACCTGGAAATCTTAATGGGTTGTCAAACTGATTAGAAATAAGAAAAACTGTTTGATTTAGGTCGGCATGATTTTTAGATAATTATAGATAAATTTTATTATCTAACGAATAATTAAAAAAAATTAAATAGGTACGTATAATGAAATAAATTATCTATAAAACCAATATTATTACTTAATGAAGTTTTTTTTTAAATGTTTAATTAAAAAGCATTCTAAACAGACCAGCTTGCAAAACGAACATTTGAATTTTTTATTATTTTTACTTTTAATGGTTTATTGTAAAATGTTCATTAAACTAAATTTGTCTTGAGTTTCTTCAAGCTGTAGTTTAATGTCGATGTAAATTAGAATATTATTTCTAAAATAGGAGAGGGGGGGGGTCAGGTAGTACAGTAAAAATCTTATTCGCAAACCTAATATATCATTAATTAAAAATGGCATTATTATATTTAATCAANTTTGATTTAGGTCGGCATGATTTTTAGATAATTATAGATAAATTTTATTATCTAACGAATAATTAAAAAAAAATAAATGGGTACGTATAATGAAATAAATTATCTATAAAACCAATATTATTACTTAATGAAGTTTTTTTTTTAAATGTTTAATTAAAAAGCATTCTAAGCGGACCAGCTTACAAAACGAACATTTGAATTTTTTATTATTTTTACTTTTAATGGTTTGTTGTAAAATGTTCATTTAACTAAATTTGTCTTGAGTTTCTTTAAGCTTTAGTTTAATGTCGACGTGAATTAGAATGTTATTTCTAAAATAGGGGGGGGGGGNTGGTAGTACCGTAAAAATCTTTTTCGCAAACCTAATATATCATTAATTAAAAATGGTATTATTAAATTATTTTTAATCAGTAATTTTTTTTAAAATTTATTGAAAATTGAAAGTTTAGAACTATTTAAAACTGTTAGAATTTAGAATATTTAGAACTTATTTATTAAAAACTGTACTGTACTTTTTGTTAGCAAAAATTTCTCAGTTCGAATTATTTTTAATTACAAAATGTATTTATAATAAAATATATTACCAAAATAATGCATTGATTCAAATGTAATTTTAAAATATTAATTTATTATTATATTACATTATTTTATTTAATTTTATGATATTTTGCCTAAGAATATAATTAATTGAAATTTGGTTAATCATATAGCTCATTACATTAAAATGCATCATAACATTTTTCCGAGTTAGGAAAATAATATTTTTTAACAGCCTGCTTTAATTATCTTTAATAGCTCATTAAAAAATCTATTATTTTTAATTGCGTATTTTAATTACTTTTAAAATTCAATTTGATAAGAAAGCGATATGTATATAAAACAGATTGAAAAAACCTTTGTGTCCCGCAAAGACCACACCTGGCGGCGTTAAAATTAATGATTGTAAATACAATCATGTAGGCGTAACAGTACCGTTCATCCTACGCCAAATATATGACGAAATATTAGCCATAGAAGTGATGAGAATTACCCAGTGGCCTCTGTTATGATGAATTGGGCGGAAATTACTATCCGAGAATGTTGGCTTCCTATTCCCCAGGCTGTGCGATCAAATATCGCCAAATTAGAACATTTCAACACATGCACAATATGAACTCGAAACTTTTCACCTGGATTAGGTTTAGGTTTATGAAATGTTTCTTCCTGTTACAGTGATACTGAAAATTGAAATTAGAATTGTGAGGCTTCTCCTAGCTTATGGGAAAAAGAATTCGTTTACAAACACTTTTGCAAATTAAAAAAAAATGTTGATAATCTGTTCGAATTATTAGTATTTGGTTTATACAAATGTTAAAATTACTGTTTGAAGCTTTTTTTAATAAAGATTTCGGAATACACGATAACTAAAATTAAAATATCAAAGTCTAATAAAAAAAGTCAAGGATGTTTTGTACAAAGTTTTGGGATTTTGCAAACAGATTAGTTGAGTGAAATATTATTAATTTGGAAAAAAATAGAATTATTAATATTTCATATTCTTGTAAGCTAAATAATTACTTTTTAATAAAGGATCCACAATATGAATTAGAAAAGCTAGATCAATTTTGATTTTGAATATCACCTTTAAAAAAAGAAATTATTTTGCTCGTAGGTCAAAGGATGGTTATTTTTTTGTTTATGTAGCAATTAGTTCTCTAATGCAAAAATAACAGAAGCATATGGCAATGCGTAAAATACTCTAATGGCAATGAGTAAATACGCACATGAACTCTAAAAAATTACAAAGCAACACATGTAGCAACATCACATGAAAAGCAATGACACATGCCAACCACGAAATATAAAATTAAAATAGGTGAGCAACACTTGAAGAAACACTTAAAATAACTACAGCACGACTTTTACATCAGAGAGAAAGGCATGAAAAATGTTAAGTAAGAAATAAAACCAAGTGAAGTATAATTGGTTACTTTTAATCCAAGAAGAAGTGAAGTGATTAGGCCTAACCATGTAATTTAATTGGATACCTGTAAGCGACGTCACGCTTTTGCGTCGAACCTGATTGACTTTCGAATTGACAAATGCCACAATTTACTCACGATGACATCATTTGCAGATATCCAATTGAAAAAGTGAAAATAAATAACGCATAGCATGAAAAAGCTATAAATTAAAAAAATATTATTGAATTATAATTTGAACGAAAGCAGTAGATATCTCTTATTTCCTTGGGATGCGATAGTTACTAAAAGCTATTTCAACTTGTTTTAAGTTAATACAAATTTTTATTGATACTCAATATGGATTAGATATTTTTTAAAAATTTATTTTGGAATGGCTTGAGTCAGACTTTATTAACTTTTCATGAAAAAAAGACTTTTAATTCCGTGACATGAAGTTTATCACTAATCAATCCAATAAGTTTTTTTCGAAAAATATAGTCATGAAAATATTTATTCATGAAATATTAACAGCTTGCAATTCTATTCAAATTGAAAAAAAAAAAAAAAAAAAAAAAAAAACCCGTCATAATGCAATTTGTCACGGAAAAAACACGTTTGCGTACACAATTATGAAAAAAACACGTTGACAGAAATTTCTTGCAACAGAATATTACAGAACATTTGTACGCTCCAGATTTATTTGTACGGCATAAAAATCTGTCATGAAGGTAGCTGTACATATCTCCGGTTTGTAAAGTGAAACAGACTTTACTAATTATTAACCCATTTTTACTAATTATTAACCCATTTTTAATTATTTTTATCATCAAGTAAATAATTATTGCAATTTCAACTTTATGATTATTAATTTATTTGAAATTGATACTAATTATTTAATTATTCCATTTTTGCGCGATTTCTCACGATTTTTGAGATATCGAATTTCAATTCGTCGATTTGGAGAATCGTCGCTGAATTATTATATTTTTCCTTCATTAAGTTTAGACGTTCCGAAGCGGGATCCGGCTCCATTATCCTCCTGGTATAAGGTCAACGTCTTGACCATCATACAAGCAGGTCGGCATCTGTTTCAATTTATCAAATTATTTGTTGCAGCTCTGATACCAAAGTCCTTTATATTCAAAACTGAAAAAATCTGTACTCAACAGATACAATGTGTGTAATTTTATTTGATAACAGAAAAAAACGTCTTTTTTGACAGATTATGATGTAGTTTAATAGTCAATTTCTGTAGTTTCAGAGAACAGAAGCTTTCTGTCGGAGAATTATAGAATTGTGTTTTTTAACAGAAATCTTTTTGCAGCGCAGTACGTAGTTTCATGCAGTTTTTCTTATTAATTAAAATCCTATTTTCAGACTAGAACTCATTATCATTCAAGTTGGCGCAAACTGCTTAAGAGAGGCCCAAGAATTGGTGAGGCTTTCTTTAATAATTTTCTTTTATGTTGATTAATTTAAATGATTTTATAATCTCATTCCTTAGAAATAAACTGCTGTTTGTAGAAAATGCAACACCATGAAAGAATCATCAGAATCAAATGAAATTTAATGCAGAAACGACTTGTACTGATACAAATAAATGATGAAATTTTCAAAACAAAAGAAACAAATTAAGCGTCCGAAATCAGTATTTGGTGCAGCCACCACGCGCTGCAATAAGTGCTGCTATACGACGTGGCATGGAGTNATAAAAAGTTTTATTAATACTCAATATGGATTAGATATTTCTTTAAAATTTATTTTGGAATGGCTTAAGTCAGACTTTATTAACTCTATATGAAAAAAAATGTTTAATTCCGTGACATGACGTTTATCACTAATCGACCCAATAAATTTTTTTTTTGGAAAAATATATTCATCAAAATATTTATTCATGAAATATTAACAGCTGGCAATTCAATTCAAATTGCAAAAAAGGAAAAAAAAAGCCCGTCATATTGGAATTTGTCATGTTACGGAAAAAACACGTTGACAGAAATTTCCTGCAACAAAATATTACAGAACATTTGTACGTTCCAGATTTATTTGTACGGCATAAAAACTTGGCATGAAGGTGGCTGTATACTATCTGGTTAGTAAAGTGAAACATACTTTTAAAATTTTTACTAATTATTAACCAATTTTTAATTATTTTCATCACCAAGTTAATAATTATTACAATTTTAACTTAATGATTATTAATTTATTTGAAATTGATAATAATTATTTAATTATTCCATTTTTGCGTGATTTCTCACGATTTTTGAGGTATCGAATTTCAATTTGTCGATTTTAAGAATCGTCGAAGAATTTTTATTTTTTTCCTTCATTAAGTTTAGACGTTCCGAAGCGGGATTCGGATTCTCCTGGCATAAGGTCAACGTCTTGACCATCATACAAGCAGGTCGGCATCCGTTTCAATTTATCAAATTACTTGTTGCTGGTTTAATACCAAAGTTTTTTACATTCAAAACTGAAAAAAATCTGTACTTAACAGATACAATCTGTATAATTTTATTTGATAACAGAAAAAATGTCTCTTTTGATCGATTATGGTGTAGTTTAACAGTAAATTTCTGTAATTTTTTTTCTGAAGGAAAGTTACAGAATTGTGTTTTTTAACAGAAATTTTTTGCAGCGCATTTTGTAGTTTTATGTAGTTTACTAATTAAAAATCCTATTTTCAGACTAGAACTCATTATCATTCAAGTTGGTGCAAACTGCTTAAGAGAGGCCCAAGAATTGGTGAGGCTTTCTTCAATAATTTTCTTTTATGTTGATTAATTTAAATGATTTTATCATTTCATTCCTTAGAAACAGAAATACATTTACAATATTTAAACTTGCCTTTTCGTTGATTTTCATACGCTACCGAATAATGATCACCTTCTATGAAATCTTCTGAAAAAATCAATTACTTGTCTAATTTACTAAATTTGCGAAAAAAATCCTTATTTCCTTCTAAAACAAATATCCCACGAGAAAATTTCAATCAAGCTTCATCCACTTCTAAACAGACACGTGCCAGTTTATCAGAGAAAACATGGGTTCATCCGTCAGTTTATCCTATGTTGATCCTATAAACGTCCCTCATGCAATGATGGTGGGGAGAAATCTTTCATTACGTAGTGCCTTGTTTGACGCCTTGTCACTCTAATTTAATTTGCCGGGGATATTCGTTCATTTGCTTCCGGATGTACGCATTTAGCCGCACGTGCGAAAAATTTAGCTGTTCAGTTTTTGGCCTTCTTTTTTGTGTGAAATATTTTGTGTACTTTAAAATGATAATAAGTTCAAACTCGATTCATATTGGTCTCCTGAAATTGTTTTTCGGTAGCTGGGTAATTATTATACCGTGCGTAAAATAAGATACAGAACCTTTAAGAGCGAGAAACATATGACGATTCAAACAAATAATCGAGGGCCTGTCACATTGCAATTTAAGACAAAAACAGACTTACCAAGTTATTATGTAAGAGAAGATCATTCATTTTTTAATTAAACTGTATAAGTTTTATCTTAAACTAAAAATTTTTATGCATGATTGTAAACCATTGAAAACATTTAAACATTGAAAAACCACATTTCTAAGATTGACTATATAATGTAAGATTTGAAAGATAGCAAAGCATCATTTTCCATCATAAAATGATGGAAATTATTGGCCCAAAAATTTCCAACATAACATGTTGGTTGACCATCATATCGCAAAATATCATCTTCCAACATAAAATGATGGGAGTTTGTTGGCTCATCAGAATCCATTACGACAAGATGGGAACTGTTGGATGTTGGGTTACCATCAAATACAGTTGGGCCAACATGAAACCAACATAAACCATCAAAATATCCATCAAACCATCAAGAATTTTGTCTTGGGTTTCATAACTTTCGGCCTAATTGTAAGATATTATCATAATACGTTATCATCATATCATAAACCTTAACTATGCATGTTAATTACTGATCACGATATTTTAATTTAGAAAATTAAATAGAAATAGAAGCATGCTTATTCAAAGAAAATTCGTTTTTGTGCTTGATTTCTCAATTTTATGAACTGCACAAATTAATTAGCTTAATTAAGGATAGGTCTTCGAATCATTAAAATAGCATTTTAATGGTTCGTTAATAACTGTAAAAACCTGTTCATTAGTTCAAAAGTTATTAAGGTGTTCTCGTTTTTTGTTTTAGACACTGTAAAAAGCTGTTTTTTAATAACTTTTTATTTTTGTCGGTAAAATTTAAAAAATTTTTTAATACTACCTTTTTAAGACCAAACTTTTGGGTTTGTGGCTATTAACTGCTAAACTCCGTAGCCTTGTAACTTTGAATACAACTCAGAAGACAAAATTCCTAGATAATGTACTGGGTATAACTCGCTTTCGTGAAAGATGAGACTAGCCCATATTTACACAAGAGAAAATGTAGAGAAAAATGTCGAGAATCTTTCCCAAAGAGTTAGACTGGGAAGTCTAACTTAAGACCCAACAAACGCTCGTGATATTTTACTTCAAAATGGTCACTATGGAAGCAGTATATAGAGACAGACATTGCTTGGGTTCAAACTTCGGTCTCCTCATAAGAAATTCCCGCATTTCTTGATAAAAATTTGTAAAAAAAAAAAAAAATGAACTCCTTAATACCCATGCATTCCTAATCAGAATCTTGGTCTTATTTACTTTTTCGAGTCTTTATAAAATCTGTTTGCAACTGCACGTCACTGCAAGGATCAGTAGCATTTAACAAAATAATTGTTTACAAAATGGTTGTTGCATTTAAAACTACCTACTTTACTGGAGTTATCATGTATTTTTTTTTAAATTTTGTGTTTATATCTTGTGAATTTTTTTTGATTTTTCTTCTTTTCTTTTAAATTTTATTTAGTGCGTAATGTAGTGATTGTTTCAGTAGCAGGTAAAGCAACGGGGACAGAAGTGATTGAAAGTTACTCATTGTCTTAGTTTGTTTCAAATAATACTCCCTTTGTTTCAGATCACGTGAGATTTCTTTTGATGTTTGACACATTTTCTTCGCTTTTTTTAGGAGTTGTTTGCTCTCTCTATTACCTACGGTTTCATCTTGCAAAAAATAGGGACTCTAGTGATTTTAATTAAGTTTTTGAAATGTTTGATATTGAATAGCGATGATTAGATCGATTTTATAGAAATTTTTGAAATCTATTTAATAATAATTTGCAATTTCTGAAATTTGCTTACTTAAAGACCATATTTTAAAGATGCTTATTAAGAACATTAATTATAGAATAACTAGTATACTTTTAAATTCTCTGAACAAAATTAAAAAAAGGCCAACAAAAACAAATTGAATTAGTCGTAAATCATGAGAGAAAGAACAAAATATTGAAGTAGTCGTAAATAATAAGAAAAAGAAGAAAATATTGAAGTAGTCGTAAATAATACGAAAAAGAAGTAAATAGTGAAGTAGTCGTAAATAATAAGAGAGAGAAAATATTGAAGTTCTAGTAAATACTAAGAATGCGAAAATATTGAAGTACTAGTAAATACTAAGAGAGCTAAAATATTGAAGTAGTCGTAAATAATAAGAGAGAGAAAATATTGAAGTACTAGGAAATACTAAGAGTGCGAAAATATTGAAGTACTAGTAAATACTAAGAGTGCGAAAATATTGAAGTACTAGTAAATACTAAGAGAGCGAAAATATTGAAGTAGTCGTGAATAATAAGAGAGCGAAAATATTGAAGCAGTCGTAAATAATAAGAGAAAGAAGAAAATAATCATCAGATTTTAAACTTTTAAATGTTAAGGCTAAACTAATGCATAGTTATATTTAGGGTCGTAAAAACTGTGCAAATATGCGGTAGATGTAGAAAGATGCATAATTTACAATTGTTCGCATAACCGCCGAATTACCACTTAATGTTTAATTCTTCGTAGAATAATTTCATCTTTTAGATAAACTTGCTTATGCTGCTTTTTTACTATGCAAATTTACTTTCACTTTGAATTCTGAGAATATTTTTTAGAAACATATTATTGACTATGTTGCGTAACTTTGTGTAAATCTTACTCTGATGTTTGAAAATTGTAATTAAAACACAGAAGAAAATGAAGTTGGTATTTTTTTCTTACAAGCCAGGTTTTTTCGGTTTTAGTTGTTTTCTAGGCCATCCGCAACCTATCCACATAGTTTTAAAAATTTTCCACATCTTTGTCGCATAATTTATGGAGCCTATTATTTTTCAGTTGATATTGAGAAATAATGCTATTAATTTCTAGTTATAAAATCAATTATGAAATTTAGCTGAAACGATAGTCGTTTATAGATTTAAAATTCCGAAGTTACTTTTCATTAGCCATAATCTAATTTCGACTCGAAGATTTTCTTAAAAAAAAAAAAACTCTTTTAAAGAGACTTTTTTTAAAATTAATATGTATGAAAAATCTTTAAAAG